GCAACCGGAGTAACTGTTCTTGAAAGCCGAATAAAACATCCCTCGGGACCGAATTCGACCCTCACAGACGTTGCTGTATCACATTATTCTGGTGGTGATTTAAAGTCAAGTACCACTTTATGCATTTATGCATTGTTTTTGACATTTCTTATTTCCTCTGTAGGAAATCAATTGGTCCGACGTGTTAAATCGTCGCCTCAAGCCCCCTTTCAAACCACATTTATTGGCTGACAATGATACATCTATGTTCGATCCCTCATTCACTCGTCTACAACCCGTGGTCAGTCCACCGGATGGTGGTCGCTCTATTCCCACAGATATGTTTCAAGTACGTTTCGTCCTTGAATGTTTTTCTGTTTCGCGGTATTTTGATGATTTACTTGGGGTGTGGATACTCCTTTCTTCGTATACGCGTGTTGTATATTGGGCGAATAACTGCTGTCCTAAGCTCTGAATGGTGAGTCATACCAGGTCTGTGCTACGATCAAGTCGTTTTTATGAATTCGAGGGATTCTCGTAGAAAGCGGCTGTCGTCAGCTGTTAACTTTATCGCGGGTGATCACTTTTCTCTTCAAAACAACAGTAGAGAGCTTCTTAACTGAGTACTCATTATCAGCTACCAAATTTATTGATCGATCTAAGTCGTCCATCGCGACTACTGTTTACCCAATGGACAGCAACAACGATAATACGCTTTATTCGTTAGAGTTAGTTTGTGATGTTAGTATAATTACATTTGCCTGTTGGTATAGTGTCTGCTCTGTCTGTGAGCTTGGCAGCAATCAGTGAAGTTCGCTTCACTGTATCTCGCTGTACGATGATGATGATAATGGTGATGGTGTCTGCTATAGAACTCAGTCGTTATCATACTCCCAGTAGCATCTACGGATTTTCCTAGACAACGGCAATGTTGCGATTTGGAGCTCCCGGGTACAACGGGACTCAAGCGACATGCATAGCTGTATACCGTCAGGTGGGTTCTTTAGTTGTGGATAGGAGGGCACCCTCACCAAAGATTACGAATAATTCATGGCTAGCTATGATAAATAAACAGTCGTGAACAAGTATCGGCGGCTCCACCACGTGGGGACAGGTTACCTACTGTTCACCTGTCTCATTACAAGAGCAACATGAGCCCACTGGTGATTCTGTGGCCAAGGCCGATGTGACTGACAGGTGAGGGTCAAAGAGAGAAACACGTAGCTACCTTGTCATCAGCTGACGTCCAAGAGTATGAAAAATCTACTTTATTGCGGTCTACAGCACATGAACCCGCTGCCTCTTGTATCTGTTATCCGTTTTCACTCGGCTTGGGTATTTACTCGAAATTATCTTTCCAGTTGTTTTTTTGACTGTCTAAAGTTTCCGTGACTGAACCA